CACCCCCTGTGTCACACCGGACACCTCTGCCCAGGGCATCCCCTCCTCCTGCATCCCCGGGAGCTTCCCAACCTTTTCTCTAGCAATTTCTCCCTACTCCCACGTAGGGTCTCCGCCTGGCCCAGCTCCCTCTGCACCCTCAATTTTCTCCCTCCCAATGCCAAGCAGGATGCTCCCTCTTCCCGCAGACCCCCGGCGCCCTTCCTCAGGCAGGCTCCATCCTCCTCTCCTGTCCTGCCAATCTGTCCCTCCAGCCCCGCCGCTGGGCACATCCTGGGGCTTGGGCAGATGCTTGGAGAAGGAAGAGTTATTTCCTCCAGGCATCAAAGTCCTTGCACTGATTCGCCTTTGCTGGAGATATGTCACCAGCTGGGGACAGTCCTTGTGCTGCGAAAGGGCATTGGTGTAATAAAGGATCCCCAGGGAGTACCCAGCTCCCTCCTCTCCCTTTGACACAAAGTAGGATCCCGCTGGAGACCAAAATCCCAGCCCTGCTGTAACAGCAGAATTTTGCCGAGATCCTCCTCTCGCATTTTGGTATAGCCCAGATCCCGGCTCCTGCCCCCGCCCTCCGGGCTCTGCCATTCCCTGTGCCCAGGGCCAGATGGCAGATTCTCTCCCGGGCCCCGCGCTCCCGCTCCCGCCACAGTCCCAGCTGACCACTTTGTTCCTAATGGTCCTCAGAGGGGAATTACGACCGAGTATTAAATGTGTGGTTAAAGAAATCGCATTACACAGTGTGACTGGTAGGGAGATGCTTCCCTTTAATCCATGGCAGTTATTAGTTTAGCGAGCGGAGCGCCTGGGCACGGCATTCCATTAGGACGGAACCCTGAGCAGAGCCATCCCCCCCCCGCCGTTGCACAGCACCCCTGCGCCCGGCACAGCCCTTTCTTCCCCATTCCGAGCCATTGCAGTGCCATTGTCATGTTAACGTGGGGCTGTTTAGCATTGCAGAAAAGAAAAGGGAAAAAAATTCACACTCGATGGCCGTGGCGCTCCCGTGAAATAATGTTTGTGTCGTGTATCCTGTCCTACAGGTCTATGCAATATTAGTTAGTCACCCTCCTGCTCCCAACGATCACCTAACACCAACACCTGTATCATACACAGCTGGCTTCTACAGGATCCCTGTCATTGGTCTGACAACACGCATGTCTATATACTCTGATAAGGTAACTGATGCATGCTTCTGGTACCTCATACGTGTGCTGTGAATCAGGAGTGCCCGCCAGGAGGGCTCATGGTGTCTGCACTCTCTGTGTCTGTCTGTCCACCCTCTCCAGCCCAGCCCGCAGCTCCCTCTCTCTCTCTCTCCCCCCCTGCATTCCAGGGTACATCATTTTTTTGCAGCTGCCAGTGCTGACCTACATAGCCCGGGATGATTTCTGCAGCGCTGCTCTGCCAGGCTGCCGGGCTCGCTGCTCTCCAGCCAGGGCAGAGGCACAGGCTGGCTCCTGCCCTGTCTCTGCTGCCAGCCAGGGGCTCCTGGGGGGGCCTGGGAGGGCCAGAGGGTCCTGTCAGAGCCTGAACATTGGGCAGGAGCTCTCTGGGGCTGGGAGGTTGTTTGGTTGCATTCACTTCTCTGGGTTTGTGGGATATTGGTAGGGGAGATGACAGAATATCCTGAGTCTTCACGTGGCATTCAGTCTGGTCAGCACTCAAGACAGAGGCTCAGATTCCAGTGTCTCAGCTGTCCCTGTGGGAACTCAGAGACTTCCAGGCTGGATGAGGTCCTGGGCAACGAGGTGGTGCCCTGGCCTCAGCTCACAGCCCGTTTGGCAAACACCTAAAGCCTTAGGAAAGGTAAAAGGAGGAGCTGAGCGGAGCCAGGCCTTCCAAATGCCATTGCAGGTTTTCATCCAGCACACGAGCTCAGTGGGTGAGATCGAGCCTGCTTCGAAGCACGAATCAGCCTTTGCTTGGAAAATGTGAATATTCACAAATGTAAATGTTCAGTGCAAAAATAGTCACTCCACCTACGTGGTAAATAAAGTCAAATTTCAAGAGAAGGAGCAGCAGCTCCCAGAGAGGCACCAGCAGCACTGCTTGGCTGGAGCAGCAGCAGATTTTGGCATCTCCCAGCAGGGAAGCCAAGGCAGGGTGGTCAGCAAGCCAGGATAGTGATGGTGGCTGGCAGGGCTGGGGACCTGCACACCCTGCCAGGGTCCCACCAGGCGTGGGTACATGGAAAGGGATGGCAGAAGGGCTGGCAGAGCAGGCAGGAGGCGTTCAGGGGGGATTTGCTTCTTGCTGTTCTGGGGAAGATATAGATCTAACAGCAATGTCACTGGGAGGGTCCTTGTCACAGGGCCCACCATGGCAGCAAGAGGGGACCCTGCACCTTCTCCTCTCTGCTCCATCTCTGCAGGGCTGTGCCCAGTAAAGCAGCCCGGCCCACCTGTGCTGGCCTGGAGTGCTCACCCCCAGGGCTCACCCTGTCCTCTCCTTCTGCCAGTCTTGTCCTTTTTGAAACCTGTTTTCTGCAGAGCAGCCCCATAACCCCCACCTGGCTCCCTTCAGGGCTGGGGGAGACACCCAGAGTGGCAACCCAGTGCTGGCAGGGAGATGCTCTTCAGGGAATATTTGGGGTGTTGCGCAGATTCAGGGGTGCAGCTGCCTGGCAGAGGGTGGGCAGGGAGCCCAGGCTGCCCACCCCACACCCTCAGGGAGCTCCTGCCTGCCTGGCATCATGCTCAGCTCCTGCCCACCAAGGCTTGGAGCTCTCTGAAGAACAGGAGCTGCAGGCAGGGACTGGGGAGAGGAACAAAGGATGTTTGGACAGTGGAGGGGACAGCAAACGTGGGAGTGGAGTGGGGGACAGAGGGGTGTGGAGCTGTGGGACAGGACAGTGGAAGCTTCTGCACACCCCATGCAGGACAGGCTGGCTCGTGACACAGGGATATTCAGCTGTTCCCTTTTTGGTTTCCAGTGATCAGCTTGCTTTCTTTTTTGTTTTAATTCAGGAAATTATATGTTTCAGCTTAGTTTCTATGGAAACAAGCTTGTAGGATCACTTTTTATGTACGCCCCTAACTGGTTTTGGAGGCATCAGGCAATTTTAGCTGAATTTCACAGGGAGCTGAAGTTGGGTTAATTTTGGTCCTCTCAAGGCTACCAGGGGAGGAAAGGTGTGGGCCTCAGCTTGGACAGGTTTGCCCAGAACCTTTTGATGCTCTCAGAGCATCTCCAGTCAAGCACAGTGGTCCATGAGCTGTACCAGTCTTTCAGCAAGGATACCCAAGGGAAGTGAGTTTTACTGCTCCAGTATCCAACCATTTGTTCTAGAAACAATACTGCAGTGATCAGGCAGGGCACTCTGGCTTGGCCTCCTCGTACATCTTGTGAAATCACAAGCTGTTCCTCCACTGAGGCCCTCTGAGCTCCCAGTACAGCCCTGCCTGCTGGGGAGGGGTCTCTGGGATTCATCACCTCTGAGAGAGGCCAGCAGGGAGCTGGGGGAGAGAGGCACTCTCAAGGTAAAGGCAGCAGAGTGGTTCCCATCACTGTGGTGTGCGTGGCTATGGAGAGCCCTCCAGGGAGATCTCATGGGCTGAGCATTGCAAAAATCCCCCTCTGCTTTCCCTCAGTGCTCCCGTGCCCCCCAGGCTACTGAGGGTGTTTCTCTCTGCTCTGCATCTCAGCTGGAACAAATTTGTCACTGACATGCTGGCACCATGAAAAGGGTGAGCTGACAGCAAGTGCGAGAGCATAGCTGAGCACAGCTCAGGAAGGTCTGTGCTCTTCAACCACACCACCTGGGACTGTGGGGCTGCTGAGCCGCTCCCCACCCCACAGCAGATTATTGCAGCCGAGGAACAGGGAGATCAATTAATAATTTAATAATTTTTTAAAATCAATAAATTAATAAATTAACAGATTAATAAATTACCAAATTAACAGATTGATAAATCAATAAATTAATAAGTTATGAGACCTGCTCTGCTGCTGGAGGAGTTGGAAAATGCAGTTTAGACATGCTGCAATTGGAGATCTTCTTCAGTTCCAGCACCTTCCCCTGGTGGTTAAGTGAGGTCTGTGTGTCTCTCCAGTCAGGGGATAGATTTCCCTCTGGTTCCTGCTCTCAGTGGAACCATTCCAGGCCCTCACAGGGCTTGTGCACTGAAAGGGTTTTCTGCTTTATTGCTGTCTCACTGCAGCCCATGCTCAGCAGAAGCCCTGTTAGGGCTGGGAAGGTGCAGGTGGGGACAAAAGTGACTTTTGTTGACAAGTTCAGGGTCAGTGCTCCTTCACTGGCACCCACAGGTGACGACTGGAGAGGCTGCTTGGTGCAGCACAGAGATGTTTGTCCTGGGAGTGGGGAGCACAGGCCTCAGCAGGACAGGAGAGCCCTCAGCAGGGCAGGAGAACCCTCAGCAGGACAGGAGATCTGTCAGCAGGGCAGGAGAGCCCTCAGCAGGGCAGAGA